TACAGCAAATGCCTCGTGCCATTGAGGACCCAATCTTGGCTTACACAGCAGAAGGGGAAATTAACAATGTACAGTGGGCATCAACTCAGCCGGACTGGATAGCTATCTGTTACAACAACTGTCTGGAAATCCTGAGAGTGTAAAAATAACTAGGTTATGGGAAATAATGAAGCAGGATGATAGTCTTTCAGTCTTCTAAAGTTAAGAACAAAGCTGCATTGAAACAGTGTCACTAGCTCTTATTAACTTCTTCTAGGAAGACTTACAACTGGAGTTAATGAGTATATATGATGAACTTCTACCCACCTTTTCTCTCTCCTCTCCTTCCCACTCCATGCCAATGACTTAAAAATGCAGGGATATCCTTGGTGTTTCAGATCTCAGATTTTATTAACATGTTCAATTAAAGTTATGTATATATTATGGCCATTTGTGTTGAGCATTTTTATTACAATGGCACTGACTGCCAATTTACACTCTACCTGAAATAATTTGTTATAGTTGCATAAAAGCTATTCAAAGTTATAGAGCTATAAAACTAACTTCTATTAAATATTTTATTCTTTTCCTCTCTTTCCCTGCTCCCAGGCAATTTCTTTGATATCAATTATGAGTTTGCAAGGGCTTTCTGTGTAACTAAGTTCTGTTGTTGTTAAAATTGTTCTTTGCCTATAAGCAAGGACTTGTCCTTTGCAGGAGCTGTTGCAGAATATATTTTGCTCTTGCAAAAATAACTTGGATTGAAGCTTTAATTTGATATGCTACATTAGATAATCATCTACATGTTGCTGTCCCTTCTCTACAACTAAAGAGTCTTGAAAAGTAATAGCAGTGTATAAAACTGTGGGTATTTGGGTACATACCTAGTATCTGATTACAAAAATACATCTAGTTTTAAATTGTGTGTATGTATTGCCCTCCCTCACAACATTACATTTTTTAGTAAAATGTAGGAAATACTTCAACAACTGGTGGTTTTTACTGTTCTAATAGACGAGCATTTTCCTGAGAAGTTTTGCTTTAAACTTTCAATAGCAGTTTTTATATCATTTATCTCAGCAGTGATGCAATTATGCAAAAATAAACAAACAAACAAACCAAACAAAAATCTTTCCATAAGGCAGCATAGGATATACACATACTATAAATCCTGAGAATTATATATGTTGTTTATATGGGATGGTGCTTTTTCTGAAAACATGAAAATGATCAGATACATAAAATTTATAGTACTTCAAAATGTGCAAGCATCTCTACTATAGGTATATTAATATGCTGTCTCTTATTCCCATATCAAGCTGCTTCAATAGTGTCACCTGTATGTGTATGATAGCTCTTCTCTGATACATTAAAATGAGTGTATTTATGATTGATTCCTCCTCCTCCTCAGAAGAATGGCTTATTTAGATTTCAGAGAAGATGCCATAGTTTTATGTCAGAGAACATTTTTCCACAATAACTTGAGGGGGGGTGATCAGAAGGTCTTTTCAGATGTAACCACCAGTCATGTATATAGTGAGATCAACTGTGACAAGCCTATTGATTATTTGTCTCATAGTATGTGAGTATAGTACAGTTATGGGAAAATATAATTGATATATACATACCTGTACTGGTCTAAGGTGCATAGACCATGGGCATAAAATATATCTAGTAAAGGAGCCAAAACATGCAGATCTAACATGCAAACAGTGTTGGATTGTCAAGTGATGAATATGGATTTGTGGTACCTGTTTTAAAAGGAACAATGTTCTTAGTGTACAGGATATTGATTAATATGAACTTTTTTTTACTAACCAATTCTGAACTGTAAGATGTTATCTTATGTTGTGTACTCCCAGTGTGATGATTTCTTAAAGGTGTGAAATTTGTAGCATGACTGTATAAAGTTCCAAACTCCTTGTTCTTTCAATAAGCAATAGCACTGATTTATGTTCCTTTCCCCCTGCTCCCAGGTGTTGCATATATTTTCTAAGCCAATATCGTTGGGCAAAGTTGTTATTAATCTTATCTTTATGTGGCGGACAATGGTTAACACTGCAATATTTTGATTTTTATGGAAAAATATATGAAATGGATTTTATCTTGATTTGGGACACCCGATTTCTGAATTGTATTGACATGCTGTAAAAATTTTAACAAGTTTTTTAAAGAGTTTGAAGTAGAATGCTGGAATTTTTAAATTGTTAATCTTGCTTCCTCTGCATATTTTGGTTTGTTCCATTCCTACTTCCTTGTGTGAATTCTGCCTTTCTTACGTTTTAATAAAATGGAACATTTCTAAATTATTCATGATGGTATAAAATGGAAAAAAAAAGACATTAAAATATACAGAGTCATTTCATTTGCTGAAAATTCAGTTCTGGAAAAAAAAAGCAGTATAGAACACAGTATACATTAAAATACAGCTGTTTAGAAATAGGCCAAAATGCAAAATTCAAATTTACATTGAATATAGCTATATAAATAAAAGTTGGAGTAAAGCTTTTCTTTTACATTAAAAATAGAAATATTCCTGACAACCTAGTCCCATGTTAGGATTCAGAGTGAATTTGATAATTAACCTAACAAATGTGGGTCCTTGCCTGCAATGGAGACTAACCCAGTTTCAATTTGTATGACTGCAGTAAGAGATGTAGCAATCCACTTGAAATAAAATTTAGATTGGATGATGGGTTATTTCATCTCAACCAGAAAATCCAGCTGTAAAATAATTTATGTCACTATGGTTTTTTGAGACAATTTTTATTAGTGTGATGCGGCAGGGCTAAATGAAATTTTTAAAAAGGTCCTGAAGACCTAAAGTACCCAAAAGATCAGGGAGCCTTTGTGGGTTGGGGATTAACATACAGTTGTTTAATCTGGAAAAGTTCTGTGACCTTAATTGCTTAGGTTGTTGCGGAGCTTTCTCTGGCTCTGGGATTTTCAAACATCTGCAAGCTGCGGAACCTGTCAGGTACAAAAACAACTCCTGGAACCCCTGCTCTACAAACTAGAGGCTGTGGCATTTTTTTTTTTTTTTTACTGCATCTATAGATGCCCCTGACTGCATTGAGTGAAGGGATTTCTTCCCCTTAATCTCTCATGGAATCCCATCAAGTTCTGCGGAACTACAGTTTGAAAAACCCTGTTGTAGCTCATTTGGTTGCTTTAGCCTCAGTGGTACTATGGAGGAAGTATAATAACTCAGCTATTACCTATATAATACTTATGTATTAATACCTATATGAAAGTCAGCAAACAGAGTCTCTAGGCTGTGCTTGCCCTTTCTATAGGATTCCATGCTCAAGCAAATCTCCTGGTCCATTTGTTTGGCAGTTTCTGAAAGTAACTCAACTAGAAGCAGTTGGGAATGTTCCAGGGTTGGTCTGACCCCCAAAGAGGTCTGTTTGGTCCAGAAGGTAGCTTTGAACACTTGAGTTTAGAAGGTTTATTTCAGGAAAGCAGCCTCAGAACAGCATGGATTGAGAAGTTTGGCATAGTTGGAAGGGGACCAGAACATTCCAGAATGTTATGTGCCTGGGCCAAATTTTGCACATCCATATAATTAATAAAGAGGGTTATATCTACCTTCTAATGGACCCTTAGTTTATGAAGGCAGTTGCAAAATTCCTATCACCATTGTATTGCATCACAACCTATAATTAGAACAAGCCTTTTGTATGCTATTGTTTACTGGTGGATGATGCTCTTCCTCCTGCCTTTGATGATTTTCTATTTTATTGATTTTTCTGTAGGTTTTGGATTTCTTCATGCATCTTACAACCATTTGGACAGCTCCATTCCCAACAAGCAGGCAGAAAAAGGTTTCCAATGTAACTGATGTCTTAGTGATCGCTGCACACTTCTGACTTACTTCTGAAAAATAAATACAAGTGTAGATTGGGAAGGGAGGACTTTCCTAATACCTGTATATCCAAGGGAGCAAGGGTGGGGTAGAAATCTAAAAAAAAACAAATAGTGCTAAAGTGGGTTAAGGTGCTGCCTTAGTAAAGTCATAGAAGATTCTACATTGCTTTTCCTGCCAGGGATGGTAAACTCTAGATACTAGAGAGAAAGTTGACTGGGTAGCTTTACTTAAAGTGCTCTTCTGCCAAGCAGTGTGTGTCCCTTATGTAGTTTCAGTGCAATCATGCAGTCCTGAATCTACCAATCTTGTCTAATCTGAAATGTTTATGCAGGTTGAGGGCTTGCTACTGTTTTTTTTTTCAGTTTTGCAGCTTGGATTTTTTATTTCATTTTATTTTAACAGATATTTGAAAGCACAGCCAAGAAAAGAGAGAAGGAAGAAACAGAAATAGAAAATAATCACAAGCTATATAAAACTGAGTAAAACTTTGGTAACATTAGATTAATACTGCTATAAAAGTGATCCTGTATCAATTTAGCACTTGAAAACCATTATTAAAATCAATATTCAGCAATTAGCAAGACAGCCACTATGATAATCATCAATCAGAATAAATAATTAATAGTCTGTCCTTATCACGAATCAGGCAAGATCTTACATTTTAACCCTTAGGTTAAGAGAAACCCTTAGGTTCAAGAGAAACTTGAAAACCATCTGCGAAGTTATAGTCCATAAAAGATATCCAGGTCAGACTTGGATAGAAGACCATAAGGGAGCCCCAAAACTGTAAGCTAGACTGGGGAGTCGAACAAAATCCCGCAAAGCATTAACAAACTTTTGCCAGCATAACTACATGGCAGCCACCAGGATCAGAATTCTAGTCCATGGAGAGTTTGCATTTAAGCACTGTTCTAAGTGTTTATAATGACAAGATCCTCCTCTAGGCGCAGTTGCCCACAGGCCTAGACTACGATCCACAGAAGTCCACGATCAACTGAAAGATCCCTCCCACTACCCGCTGCTCGTACAGTAATTAGCAGCTGAGAATTTTAGTAAGCACCGCCTGTTTTTGAGAGTGCGCACGCGTGCATTTCCGCTGAGGGAATCTTTAGTTTCCACCAGAGGAACTGCGCCTGCGTGAGCGCAAGAGGCTTGTGTAGAATTTCCGCGCATTTGTGTCGCTGAAGGAAGAAGTAGGATACATCGACGGAAGGCGAGTGGAGGAGGAGCCACTTGTTTCAGGCCTTAGGAAGGAGGTGGCTGAAGCGGGCACCTGGGCCAAAGCTTTGGTATGAGGCGGCGACGGCGGCGGAGGTGGCTGCTGTGAGGGCGGAAGGAAGAGGAGCGGAGCGAGAGGAGAAGGGGGGACGGCTGAGTGACGGGTGCGCATCTCTCAACCCGCCGCCCCCCCCATTGCCAAAATGGGTAAGCGAGATGGGGAAGCTCAGCTCCGGCCTTGGCGGAGAGTCGGAGCGCCTGGTCAGCCCCGCGAGGAGCTGAGTGTCGACGTCGAAAGAGAAGGAAACGCTGCGGCGGCGGCTTGGCCCGGTTGCTGGATGTGCGGGCGCGCGTTTTTCTCTGCGGGAGAAAGTTGATATAATAGGAGCAGCTTCGTGCATAGGAGCGGTGACGGAAGCGGTATGCTGCCGGGGAGAGATCTGAATGTATAGATCTGCCTTGGGTTAGCTCCGCCTGAAGCAGTGGTAAACCACGGGAGGATCACAGATCGCTGCTGCATACTAATGATTTCTCAGTCAATCTCCAGTTTTTACTAACAATTTGAGTTGTACGTGGATGGAAGGTTTGTGGGGTTTTGCTGAATATTTTGCTTAAGTTTCAGTATATTCAGTCAAGGCTGTCTTATAGGCTTAAATATTCGTCTTAGAAAATCTTTGGAAAGCTGCAGTGGGCAGATGGGAGTTTGTGCTAGCATCCCAAAACCCATTAACAAGAAACAGGTGCAAAATTATGTAATCAGCATTAAATACTGTATGGTGCCTTTAACCTAGGGAATTGTTCTCAGAATCAGAATAGAATCAAGTTCATAATCCTTTCATCCCAAAATACATGCCAGGTCTCTCTCTTCTGAAGTCTAATTTTGGTGAAGTATTTTCCCCCTTTCTACTGTTGTTATTAAAAAGTTGAGAATATTGAAATAACCCAGAGATCTACTGGTATATTGTAGGCTGTCTTCTGCTCTATTCCACTCTGTAGATGTGCACTGTGGATATGGATGCATCAGTGTGCAAAAGAGCAGTTGTGTTTGTTTTCACATATTCTGTGGTAAAAAAATCAGTTTGTAACTTTTCCTTTATGTGGACCTGTTTTATTATTGACATGTGCAATGACCACATAAAGTCAGACATTATCAGTAGTTGCTAAGGCACTCATGGCCCACTCATAATAGCATTTACAAATTCCCCAAATTAAATAGGAATAAATTGGATGAAATCTCATAAGGTAATCACATTTCATGAGATTATGATGTGTTGATCTACAATCTTGCCAGATTTTGGGGAGTACAATGAAAATCTTACAAGATTTGGTAGTCTCTTGATATTTTGGCTGTCTCTTATTTTTAAGCCCATACCATCTGTAGTACTTTCACTGACCCCCAGTGGTACCCAGACATAGATTGGAAACTTGTACTAAAAACTATAATTCATTTTATATCTGTGTTCCTTTTTAAACATTGTAACTAGAGGTATATTTTGTTCCTTAATAGATACAATGGGATACTTAGCATACAAATTTCCTTACCAGTTAGTATAATGTAGTTTAACATGGCTTGTCTGTATTTAAATACCTGTAGTATAAAAATGTGAGAAATCTGAACTGATCTGAGCTTTGGGGTTGGTATGCATTGCTTATATGCTTTTGTTTTTTGGAGTGGGGGTAGGGTAAGCCTTCCTAAATTGCTAATGGACTCTGTAAAGGGGACAGCTCTTACCTTCCATTACTAGCTAATAAATACACTGATATCTGTGGATCTTGTTTAAACATTTATGTGAAGTGATATAATCACTGGAAAACTGTTTATATCAGCGCTCAGAAAATATATTTTAGAGGATATTGAAGGCAGAATTGTATCTGCAGTGTTAGCTTAAATGAAAACTGAAAATTTCTTATAGGAATGTAAGTCTTATATGCAAAATTCTGCCCATCTTTAGAGGGTTGGTGACACAGCAGGAATAACAGCATTCTCATCTAGCTTATGATATTTATAGCTGCACCTAACTGACATTGCCAAAGTAAGGTCAGATGTTTAATGCTTGGAAGGGAGATCACCAAGAAGACCCATGCTGTAGGCTAGATTGGGAAGCTGAAAAAAATGTCCTGGAAGAAGACATTGGTGAACAACTTCCATATTATTGCCAAGAAAATTAGATGGGCAAAGGCATGTAGTCATCAGAAGTCAAGTCGAACTGAAGTTTTTATCTTTTTATATAGTATGGTGATGTTTGAATATGAACACTGCTACTTCAGTGTTGGATTTATCTCCCTCTTTGCCCGAGGGATGACATGTTTGAGTGGTGATGAATACCTCCTTGGGAGCGGGGGTGGTAGTCCATCCCGTCCTCAAGGAGCCATCCTTAGATCTGACCATTTTAGACAACTTTCACCCTGTCTCCAACCTCCCCTCTTTAGGGAAGGTTGTTGAGAAGATGGTTGCCTTGCAGGTTCAGAGGGCCCTAGATGGTGGATTATCTGGACCCCTTTCATTCAGCTTTCAGGCTGGGGTATGGGACTGAAATGGCATTGGTAACACTTTTGGATGAGGGTACTGCGTCCATCCTTGCTGTCCTTGATCTATCAGTGATTTTCGATAGTATTGACCATGGTATCCTTTTGGATTGGCTCCAGAAGTTGGGGGCACAGTATTATACTTATTCTCCTCCTTCCTCCATGGTCAGTTCCAGTCAGAGTTGATTGCAGGGGAGAGGTCTGCCCCACAGTCATTATGTGAGGTGCCTCAGAGCTTAACTCTCTCCCCACTCCTGTTTAACATCTACATGAAGCTGCTGGGTGAAGTCACATGATGACTAGGGTGAAGTGTCAATATGCTGTTGACAGTCAACTGTATATCTTCACCCCTGGCCAGCCAAGTGATGCTGTGGAAGTTTTGTCTCAATGTCTGGAGGCTGCAGGGGTCTGGATGGGGATGAACAGGCTTCAGTTCAACTCTAGCAAGACACAGGCTCAGCTCAACCCTAGCAAGGATTTGGGCCTCCTGGATCTGGTTATTTCCCATCCATAGTTCTGGATGGATTTGCACTATCCCAGACAGAACTGGTTTGCAATTTGGGGACCCTGGACTCACAGCTCCTGTTTGCTTCTGGGTGTAATTCAAGGTTCTGGTTATTACCTATAAAGCACTTATGAAGGTATTTGAGGGACTACCTTACTCCCATTGTTTCTATCTGTCCCATTAGGTCGGGTGGAAGGGGCATGCTTCACATCTCATGTACAGTATTAGAGATTGTCACCTAGCAGGACCCAGGAAGCATGCCTTTTTATAGCCACTCCTTCCCTCTGGAACATCATACTGCCTGATGGTCCTGACTCTGCTCAACTTGAAAACCTGGCTGTTTTCACAGGGATAGAGGCCCAGAGAGTAATTGAGTCCACGCTATTGGTGAATGGTGTGTTTGGGAGCTACTTGGTGTTAGTTGGCTGTGAACAGGGTGTTTTTTTTAATGTACATTGTACTTACCTTGTATTTTATTTCCTGTTAGCTGTGGAGAGGCCCATTGATGAGATGGGCAGCAATATACATCGATATAAATAAACATTTAAGAGGATAACTATGTAGTTATGTGTAGAAACTGCTGGTTAAAGACAATGATTGTCAGTTTAGTTCAACAAGTGTTTGACCTTCAGATGCTAAACCTTTCTCTTCATCTTACAGGAAAGAAATATATAAATCTTAAAATCCATGTAATTTAGCATCATTCTTACAATTGAGAGTGATACTTTAATTGCTATATGAAATTCCAAATTAATACAGCAGCAATGTCTTGCAATACTGTAGTCCCAACTAGCAAAGAAGTTAAAAGATCAATACCAGCATCTTGAATTGTGCACAGATATACCTCAGAAGTTAATAGGAACGCTGAGACATGCTCCCACCTTTCAGTGCTTGTTAACAATTTGCAGCTGCATTGTGACTTTAACTGAAGTGTCTGGAGAATCTTCAAAGGCAGCACCAATGCAGATTTTGCAGTGTATGCTCTGGAGGTTATACAGCATGGCTAGTTATGCCCAGTTTCTGTCTAGAAAGGATTACAATTGGTATATCAGCTACACATATTGTAAGGTGTTGCAAACCACAAAACTCTTTTGAATCTTCAGTGGGAGACCTGGGATATAGATTTGTCCTACTTTCTTCACATCCTGGCTAATTTTATATTACTCCCCACACCAACTATCTTTTCTAAATTAAAAAAAAAGGGGGATGATTTAGCTTATACAGAAGCGACTTCAGACCCAGAATGATTTTGGCTGTCCTTTCTACATCTTCTCTAAATCCTCATCTTCCTACATAGTGATCTCTAATAGCCAGAACTGAATACATATTTCAAAGCTAACCACAGCATTTATGTGTATACAAATGATGTAATGTTCACTTCTTACAATCAGTTTGTCTTTTTAGTATTGAATTAATATTTTCTTAAAGCTAGCTGCTGTGAATCCATTTATTTCATAATCAGTGCCAATACACATTCCATTTGTGAAGATATAGTGAATTTTGTTCTAGTTTGCATCACTTAATCTTATTAATCCACTTTAGAGAAATAATCGTGGAATTCTTCATGGTTTGTTAGTATCACGGCCTGTGATTGCTTAATATTTTTTTTCAGCCAAGCCATTTCAGTAGCACAAACTCATAGTGTCCCTGCTGTTTTTGCTTAGATTGGATGAGGTGATGTGGGTGAGGGCAGAAAGCGTTGGAGCAAAGTAGTGTTTAATAAGCATATAGCTCAGGGCTGAAGACCCATTGTGGACTCTGCTGCTTTTTCTGGGCAAACAGAGCACTGCTTCCAACTACCTGCCTGCTTGCCTACTTAGTATGTATCATATTTTTCCGACTATAAGACAATACTTTTTTCTAAAATCCTTACCCT